TTCTTCTGGTCTCAGCTTACATGCTACTTCCTTCAAGAAATCTTTCCTATAAGCTGAATTCTCTTTCTGTGTTTCTGTGCTAGCCACTGTATTTCATTAAACTGCCTTTAATATAACTTGTATCTTTTTCAGAATTACACATTAGATTGTAAAACCTTTGAGGGCAGGAAATATCTCTGACATCACTGTTTTCTCAATGCCTAATAGTGATAGGTCCATGATAAATACCAAATTTGTTTACTAACCAATTGACTAATGAAACAAAATTGTTCTGCAAAGTAAAAATAATCCCATAATGTCATCACATATTGTAGACACACATCTATATTTCATAACTTTTATAATTACTCTTGATAGACTATGGTTCTAATACCAGTTACAATAGATGAAATATTTAGATGACTGTCAGGTACTTCTAATTTTATGATCTTGAGATATTACTTTGTGTTGGTACTTGATGCAATAAACCATACAGGTGTATTTCTAATAAACTAAGTTCTAATCGAAATTATAATGGGTTCCCAAGCAGATTACTAGAGAACTTTAAAAATATCAATGAGAGAACAAACAGATTGCCATTTGATTTTAACACTGGGCTCTTAGACACAGATTGAGTTGGTCCTCATTGCCTCTTTTGCCCTAATGTTATTAAGTACTACTAACCTCAGGTATTATTGCTCTCATATTTAATATTCAGCTTTAAATGTAAAATGCCATGCTTATTATTATTTTTTTATTTATACTAGAAATCCTTGCTCCGGATATGTACAAAATGGAGCTATATTTGTTCTTAAACAACTTTCTATAAGAATATTCCATTGTACTTTGCCATTATTTATCTCTGTCTCTCCTCCCTGGGTGCTTCTGTTAAAATTAATTTGCATTTAGACCTCAGGATTTTATATTGCCATTAGAATCATGAAATGTTTTTACTCAGCACAACTAAGAACTGATGTTTTACCTCCCACTAATGGACCTTTAATTAGGCACTGTAATGAACCATTCTGTCATTCCTTCATTTATGGAGAGAAGATTTTGTATATGCAAGATACAATTTTGACAGAACATCAGGTCCACTGAACCTTGCCGACTCACATATAATAGATCCTAAATTTATTATGCTTTTGTCAGTTGTTGGATTTATCATTTTAATGACACTGTCCACAGACTTATTTTGCTGCCAAAGAACAGCATCACCATACTGCAGGAATGTTTGTTGACATCTTGATCAACAACTCCTGGGGTCCCATTCTGACTGTAATATTACTACTTCAGAACCTTGAGCAAGTTATTTAACCTCTGTCTAAGGATTAATTGGTTAATTTTAATAAGTGCTTTGCAGTAAAAGGTGGGAAGTGCTATGACTGCTAATAGTGATAATAAAATGATAATGCAGCCTTTTATAATGAATCAGGCTACCTCAGACTGTGATTCTATTAAGTTGCCAATTAAAATATATGCTAACTCAATTTATTATTTTTCAGAAACCAAATCGCTATCATGATGGTCACATAATATTTTTTTAACTTAGATCAAAAAGAAAAAAAAATGGCCATGCTTGAGCTTGAAAACATTTTTTTTTCAAGTTAAAAAAAAAAGATCAACATTCTATGATGATGGACCAATTGGGAACAGAGATAAGCTGCACAGAAAAATACCAGATGGTTGTAGCCTGATTAAATGTAGCTCTTGTACATTAAGTTGATTGTTCTTTTATTAACTTGTCTCCAAACTGTTTTCATTTATTTTCTATGATTATTTATTTATTTGACAAATGCCTTTGTTGGGTATAATCTCAAAGAGGACGTCCCAGACAAATAGGAAGGAAACACACAATTAGCAATAATACCAGATTAAAGTGAGTAGAAACAGACAGAGGTAAAGAAGTAGTGACTTGAAAATTCAAAAGAAAAAGCCATGCATTCTCTTGGGCAGATGTGAAGACCTTGACAAAGGAAATGGCCTTAAAACTGGACAGGGGCAGATAGATAGGATTTGGCATGGAGAGACGAAGGTGAGGAAAAATCCAAAGAAAGTGCATTCCAGAGGAAGAGAACAATGGGAGAAAGTTGCAATGCCAAGGAAACTGACGTGTGGAGAAGCAGGAGAAGCAGGGTAAGTGTGGTTTTACTAGAATAAGACAGAGGCTGCAAAAGTAGTCTGGATAGTAATGAGGGTCTGCGTTATGCAGGGGAGTAGTTGGTGCTGTCCCTGATTTGCTTGGAAATCTTTCAGGGTTGTGAGAATATTGGGAAAAAACCCATGAGTTGGTAGGTGGGAGTTGTACTGGAATATTCTGCTTTGTTGAGAAGAGGGAAGAGGAAGGGAGAACCATGAGGACGTAAGCAAGGTGTGTAAACAAGGTGTGATACCAGCATATGACATGATTGTTTTTTGCTAGATAAACTCTGCGGGCCTATGACACATACCATTTAAGAAATAACTCCTCAGTAGCCTCCTCTGCAAAATGAGAATAAAACTGGGTACCCCATCCCCTCACTCCCTTCTCCTCTGAAACCCTCTATTTCTAGGAGTCCAGAGTCTCTCATGAGTTGTTTCCCTCACTGATTTCTTCCCATTCAGTTTTCCTCCCTTCCCCTATGGTCCTCCAAGCTATTCCTTATGTTCCACATATGAATGAAACCATATGATAATTGTCTCTCTCTGCCTGACTTATTTCACTTAGTAAAATCCCCTCAGACAATCATATTTCTCAGTGTTGAATCATCATATACCACCACTGCTAAAGCACGAGCTCACCTGGTTCATTAGTGAGATTAAACAGATTAGTAGAATTAATGGAAAAAAAGAATGAAACACAAGAGTGCCTGGATATAGAAAGATCTCAGTAAATGTGATTGAGACAGAAAACCATTCTTCTTATTATGGATACAACATACAGCTGTGGCTATTCTTTTGAGAATAGGTACAGAGGGTGCAGAGAGAAAGCATGGAGATCAGTTAGTAAAAATGCAGGTAAGAAATGCTGGAAACTTCAATGAAGATAGTGGGGATGAAGCTGGTGAGAAGTGTTCAGGTCCTGGGTATATTTTAAAGGAACAAGTGAGAAAGAAGTTGGGGTGTAAAAGAAAGAAAACAGTCAAGAATGAATTCAAAATAGATAAATGGGGATTAAGGAGTACACTTGTAGTGATGAGCATTCAGATTGTTGGGATTGTTGAATCGCTGGATTATGTACCCAAAACTAATATAACATTGTTTGTAACTATCCTGGAATTAAAACAAAAAAATAGATAGGAAAATCTTTAAAAAAAATAATAAAGTGGGTTAGATTAAAAAAAAAAGGATGAATCCAAGATACTTGGACTCAAGTGATGAGTGTTTTCTTTTATAGACACAAGGTAAACTGTAGTAGAAGCAATTTGGGGTGAGAAAATCAGGTAAATTTAGAGCCAACTCAAACTGTCAAATAGATACTTAGGTATAAAAATCTGGAATTCAGGAGGGAGGTTCAGCTAGAGATATACATTCAGAATTGTTTGTATTTGGATGATACTAAAAGTCACACAATTAGTTGAAATCATCTAAGCAAGTAGGTCTCAATCGCAGTCACACATATGAAACCTGTGGAAACTTTACATAGTATTGAAGCCTAACAGAATCAAAATCTTTGGGGGTTATGTTTGGGAAACTGTATCTTACAAAACTGTATGTAAAAATGTTTAACCTAATGTTCTGATTCGTACGGAAATCACAGGCTCATGGAGTGAGTTTTTGAGAAAAAAGAGATGAGAGACAGTCATGAGCCACTCCAATGTTTAAAGGTCAGGGAGATGAGGTGGAACCAGCAGAAGACAGTGAAAAGAAATACCCAGTAAAATGGGAATGAAAAGAAGAGAGTGGTAAAGACAAATGAAAGTGTTTTAAAGGGGGAGTGATTAACTGCGGATTGTAGGATAAAATAAGAATTGATAATTGGCCATTGAATATGAGAACATGGACAACAATAACATAAATTAACTTGACCTGATGAACGATATTTCAGCAAAATAGTGAAGATAAAAACCTGCCAGAGGTGAGGTCAAAAGAAAAATGAGAGGAATGTATCATGTAACAACTCCTTAGAATAAAGCTATGGGTAAAAACAAACAAACAAACAAACAAACCAGGAAAATAAAGGTGTGGGTAGAAAGATATGGGCACAAGTCAAAGTTGTTCAAGAAACAACTAGGGGGAGAGGAAAATACTGATAAAGGAGAAAGGTGGGGACAGTTGTAAGAGATATATCCATGAGTAGCTAAGAGGAATGGAATGTATGAGTGGACAGTAGAACATTGGAGGTAGCACGGGGTTCCTGCTCCTAAGAAGATAGTCTATGGATCTAAAAGATAAAGTGGTTCAAGAGATGATGGTGATGGTGGGAGCTTGTGGCAGTTCTCTTTAGAAAGCTTCTATTTAATCAATGAAACAGAAAGCAAGTTCTTGAGCTCAGGATGAATTTGGGGAGCAGGTATTAGAGGTTTGAGGAGAAAGGAGATGATCTGACTGAAACATCTAGGAGAGTCAGTAGATTAGCAAAATACAGTTGAAGCTATAGTAAGTGCCCACTTGAAATTAGTGGTAAAAACTCAAGTGATCCCAGTCTGTATGATTATGTGCTTTTCTTCAGTTGCATCCAGCAGTGGGATACCAGTTCAGAGAAGATGGAGAATTGGATTTAACCATGGTCAGAGTTTTCAAGAAAAGTGTAATAGAAGGGAAGAGAGAGCAAGGGAACTGAGGGTCTATATGAGGGGGTGATTACAATGATGGATTATAGAATCTCAGCTGAGAAAGGAAGAAACATAGAATCTTTAAAATGAGAAGAATGAGGAACAATGTAAAAAATCGTTGGAGCTGGGGTGATGGAGGGAGCGACCCTGAAAAATAAGGGGTTGCTGAAAATGAGATAATGGAAGGAACATCGAGATAAGAAAATTACTTAGTGTAAACATCAAAGTACGCTGTCAGACCGTCTTATGGGACTTGCTTTCACTTACAGTACTGACATCTGTCTCCAGTGTGTTCGGGCTGGCAGTGGCAGTAGGGCTGGTTCCCAGCAGTCACACTGCAGGTCCCTCCATTTTGACAAAAGTCCTCACAGACAGTCTTACCACAGTTTGGTCCCGTGAACCCCAGTGCACAGCTGCAGGTTGGTCTCCCTAGTGCAAAAGAAAAAGTAACAAAAAAGAAATCATTTGACTGGAATGGTTTATTTTCATGGAATCCTCACTAGATAAGAAACAGGAAGCCAAGATTCTGGTCAATGTTTTTCCACTAGTTAACCTGTGGTTTTAGGCAGTAACTTGACCTCTGTGTGTCTTAGTTTTCCCATGTCCTAGTGAAGCCTAGATTAGAAGATAACTCAGGTTCACATCAGGTAAAATAACTGGAGCTCATTTTATGCATAATTACATATTTGATGGGTGTGTTATGCTCTGAAGTGTTTGTGTTATTTTTTGTACTTCTCTGTTCATGTCCATTTTGCTTTCTCAATTATTTTTGTTCCATTCATATAGTAATGCAGATTGTTTTAGCCATTAGAATATAAAATAGAGACAATCATATATCTTTTGTTCTTTTTTTTTTTTTTTTTTTTTTTTTTTTTTAGTGTTCAGTGATTCATTAGTTGCATGTAACACCCATGTGCCCTCCTTAATACCCATCACCCGGGTACCCCATCCCCTCACTCCCTTCTCCTCTGAAACCCTCTATTTCTAGGAGTCCAGAGTCTCTCATGAGTTGTTTCCCTCACTGATTTCTTCCCATTCAGTTTTCCTCCCTTCCCCTATGGTCCTCCAAGCTATTCCTTATGTTCCACATATGAATGAAACCATATGATAATTGTCTCTCTGTGCCTGACTTATTTCACTTAGTATAATCCCCTCAGACAATATTTCTCAGTGTTAAATCATCATGTACCACCACTGCTAAAGCATGAGCTCAGACTTACAAATAAATATTTTAATAAGTTCAAAGTGGGCATGCCACCTATATTTATGTAATTAGTTATTTTAGTTGATTTAAATATACATACTGCATTTAGTATATAAGCACTTAGTAAGTCCTACTTTATTTCATTTTGAGATTTTTATTTATGCATGGGAAAGGACTGTCATTTTAGTAAGATGATTTAAAGTCTAATATTAACAGCACACTAGAGCAAATCTAAGGGATCATCTATGGATATTTTTCTTTATTTGCTCAATAACACCACAAGTAAAGGTGAAAAATCCTTTAAGGTGTTTGGAACATAACACAGTTAACTGTTATATCAAGAATGACTCTTTCTAACTGCCTAAGATGTCAAGGACTGGATGAAAAATGGAGTACAGAGCTAGCTCTTGTAAAAGAGATTAAGGAAAACAAAATGAAATAATGGCCACCATTTGTAATAGGGAAAAGTGAAGTTTAGAGGTTGTGAAACTGTAAAGAAATAACATGAAAGAGAATAAAAAAATAAATTTAGCTATAGATCTGAATTAACTAGGACTTGGAAATGTTACTCAGTTGACTAGCATCAGAGAATATCCAGCCATCTCCTCTCTCAACTTTGTAGACATGAAGCGTAATTAGAATGGTCATAAAAATGTATGAGTATAAGGCTTAGACTTGAAGTGTGAAAATGATATGTTTTCTCTACTGCCATAGACTCTACATTCTACATTTTTTGAAAAGCACTCATAAGTGAATAAAATGCCTCCAAATAAAATCCACATGTATTTCCAAGAGAATAAATAAGTTGAGGTTCCACAACCTATTTACTTATTTTGCTTTGAAAGCTCTCCACATACTTAAGCACACTTGAAGCTATTGCTTCTTAATGAACAAAGTTACATACATTTTTTATGGTGAGTAGCACTGCTTTATAGCTTATGTATAAAACTTACTAGTTTGGTGGCAGACAAATGCTTATTAATAGATTGAGAAGCAAGGTAAATTTTACGTACATTAAAAGCTGAGACATATCATGTTTTACATTCCCAGAAAATGGCTTTAAAACTTTTAGCTAATTACTTTTCTTATAACGGTAGTGAATTTTCTAGTTGTTGTTTACATATAGACAAAATATCTTCATGGGAACGATAGTGGTTGAAAAACAAAGACACAAACAAGAGAATGAATAGTGGTAGAAGATGAAGAGGATAGAGAATTGTTAGAACACAAGTACTAAGGAAAATGAAAGCCCTGAACAAAAGAAGTCATTCCTCTTCGTCAACAAGAACCAGTGAATGCCTTACCGAGAAATAAAACATATAAACAGGAACACAAATCAACATGAGCTAAATGTGAAAAAAAATAGACCAGAAAGTACAGGAGAAATCAAAAGTAATTAGAATAATCTCAAAAAGTGCCATATGGTGGTAGGACTTAAGCACCATAGATTTATGGGTTTTTTCCCCCATTATTTTCCATGTTTTTTAAAATTAGGTGTGAAAAACATTAAAGTGATAGAAGTTTGAAAGAAACACATGCAACCCACTAAGGCACTTGAAAACTGCTCTATCCCAGTCACTGAGAGAATGACACCATGCTTTTATCTCATCTACAGCTGTTTTGAAACTAGGGCAGAGTGACCAGTTTTTCCCCAGCCTCCACCCCCAGCATATGCCTCACATCATTTAGATTCTGGCTGAATTATTTTCAAAAGGCTTCTTTCTCTTCCTTTAAAGAGAAGATTTCTTTTTGACAAGAAGGAATCTTCATATTCAGGGGAACATTACCAACTTGAAGCTGTGTGTTGATACAGCAGATCTTTTATTTGCTGATGGGAAATGAACCATCTGTCACAGAATTTTATAATGGGCTCCATCTAATATTTTCAGGAATCTCTCTGGGTGTACCCTAACAAGTTGCATTGGATTTATTTACAAAGATTTTTTAGGTAGCTCAATTTGACTTTGGCATTTGAAAAGGCAACAATACTGTTACAATGACTAAGGTATAGATTTATAGCAGTGAAGCGTCCAGGGAGCTTGGGAGTTGACAGCCTACAAGGGTAGTATAATCAGGAAGAGCATCAATTAGCTGGAGGAAGGAGGAGGAGGATCAGTTTGTTGCTTCTAATCAGTCTGCTTTCTGTAGCATTTAGACCCTTAAAGTGTGGGTTGTCAGGCCGCCTGGACATATGCTATCTGTGCCAAATACCAGTGGTGGAACCATGAGCATCACTTCTCTGTTTCTTTCCCCCTATGCAAAAAAAAAAAAAAAAAGGGGGGGGGATAATAATATGGGGTTGTTCTGTAGAATCAAGTAAATGAGATTATACATGCAAAGCATTTCTAAAGGTACTAGACACACAGAAAGCACTCAGTGACACTTTAGCTCTGTTTATTATTATTACTGTTGTTATTTCTACTGAGATTCACCATTCTTCATTTTGTGACTGTGTCCTAAAGAGACACTGTAACATTCTAAGAAAATCTTTTGGAAAACTGTCTTAAATTATGCATTTTATCTCCATTATTTATTTAAGATAAAACAAACTGAGGGTTCCTGGAGGGAAGTGGGGTACGAGAGATGGGGTGTCTGGAGGATGGACATTGGGGAGGGTATGTGCTATGGTGAGTGCTGTGAATTGTGTAAGATTGATGAATCACAGACCTGTACCCTGAAACAAATAATACATTATGTGTTAATAAAAAAATTAAATTTGTATGGCAGTGATGGGATAAAGCAGAAAAACTCCATCAAGTCTCAGACTTCAACATCTTTAACTTTGGAAGATGGGTCTTTTTCCTCTCTTTACTTTCTCAACATGCTTAATTCTACACTTTAATAAGAAAGAACACACACATACAAACCCCACGAAACAAACACAAACACAAAAAATCACACCTAGTATTTTTATCAAGTCCATTTACTTGTATAACTTCAAATTTTGATATATACTTGAGCTTTTTAAGAGACTACACTCACAGCTTCCAGTTCTATCAAATGCATGAAAAAATCTTTGATCATAAAGTCACATTCCAATCCTTCAGTGGATTTACAGTTTTTATTTTTTTCAGTATACAAAAAGATGTGTCTTAACCTTTTACTTCTCTTTGCTATTTCAGAAAAGAGGACAGATCCCTCAATATGTATGTGTTGTTCACATAAATCAATTCTGATTCCCTAGTGATAAAAAAGGTTGAGGGATGGAGAAGTTAATGGGTATTTATATACTTTTGCAAAGCTTATCTCTGATCTTTTAATCCCTAAATCCGCTGATTTCTTTTCAATCATCCTCCTCCTTAAATACCTGCATAATTTACACATTTTATTTTTGAAATTTATTTTTTGTTTTTTATTACACATTTTATTACACATCTACTCTTAAAAAATTCTTGGTTTCTAAGACACTACCATTGTTGATTTCCCTTTTTCCCTTTTCAGTTGCCTTTATGTTTTCTCTTTCTGTCTCTTAAAATATATTATTCCAGACTTCTTTTTGGTGATACACTTTCATGGCTACAATAATTGTCTCTCTATTCAAATACTTTAGCATCAGTTTCCCGACTCTGGGCTCATTCACTTTCCTAAATGACAGGCCTTCAGTCTCAGTCTTTGTTGTATGTCTCGGTATATGTGTCTCTGGCTGCTCAGTAGGTTCAACTCTCCCATGACCCACAGAGAGAAAATTCTTCTCATAAACATTGTCCTGGTAGCTTACACAATTTCTGCAGACTAGGTTCTCCTAGTACTAGGTCTGCTCCATATTCAAGTTCGACACTGTATGTTAGCAAAGTGCCTTACTAGCTGTGTACGACAAGTGAAGCTTAGTTTATTTGCTCCATTAATTCATTATTAATTTATCTGCTTCTGTTCATAGTCAAATGGAAACTGGTTGCATATATCTTCAAAAATGTGCCAGCAAAAAAAAAAAAATGTGCCAGCAAATTTTTATGCATCAAGTTAAATAATAAATAAACTGTTTAGATTTAACTGGATAACCAAATATGTCAAATATGGCAAAAATATAACTAAAGGGTTAATCATCTATAATCAGTAATATACATTAAGGAATATTCATTGATACAACTAAAGATTGTATTGCTCATAAGAAGAAAGGAAATGTCTTGGATTCTCACAGAGTTCTTGAAATTTTGCTGATCTTACATGGCCCTTACATACCAAAACTAGTCTCAGTAAAAATGGTTAATTCTGAAATAGTTCATAA